AATAAATGACAACTATGGCAAGTCAAGAACAAGGGTAAAATAAGTTTTTTTAGCACAAAAGAAAAACCAGTTCCTGATTACATGGTCATCAAAATGGCATCCATTGTAACAACACATATCGGTTGGGAACATGGCAAGGAAATTCTTGACACTCATTATATGTTAAGTGGTGGAGACTCAAGATATGGTTTGCTTTTCTACAAATTCTTCGGGGCTGGGGTTAGTAGAAAGTGAAAGTTACCGCCTATCTGACATATGAAAAATTACATTTCTGTAATAGTCCTCAGTTACCAAAACACTTGGGTGACTGTGATGTCGTATTCGATTTTTAGTCAGATTTTCGGAATTCAGCATCACTTTTTTTTTAATTTTCAGTACGCCTACCCAAAATAGAAAAATCCAAAAATCCCAACGGCTTAATATGTTATATGCGTTGTTAGCTGCTGGCGGATATCACTCTTCAGTAAGTGGTATCTGCGAGAAAGTAAAAGACAATGCAGATAGCCTCCAAGGAGATCGCTTAAAAATCGAACATATGGATATTGGCTGCAAATATGGCATTTGGGACCTTAGTTACTCAATTTAGAGCCGTCCCAGTGAGAGCATTAATGCTGAATTCCCATATCGAGTGTCCAGTCTCTGTTTTTATCGCTAAACGGCGAAAAAATGTCTTTTTATGGATAAAATATTAAAAATATACATTTTGCAAAAGCGTTAAGAAAAATATTTTTTGTGAAATATCATTCTTTCATTTGTCGTCAACGATAAAATCGTCCTTCTTCCCAATGTAATCATTATCGTCGTGCAATATCGACATAGGACTTTTTAGCGCTGTACACACTTGTTCATTGAAAGGTAATAGGGTGTTTTTCAGTAGCATATATAAATCCCCGCGCCGTCTTCATCTTCTCCTTTGCCGTTTTACTCCAGTGGATCGTTGATTCCCTTCTGAGCTCATCAAAGAAGCCTCTGTGTAATTTATCCACATTTCCTGATCACATTGTTGTACAAGCGGGCATCCTAATTTGTTACTTTTATACTGCAAATAAATATTAATTGTATTATATAAAATGATTCTCTTAAATCCACTAAATAAATGTTTTAATCGTTTCTGCTCAACCTACCGCTTCTGCTGAACTCACCAAGTACTAAAGTGTCCCAAGCGTACCACACTTTTGTTGGTTTGTATTGGTTGTGACAGTTGTTTTGATTCTGCTCCTCATCTCCTTATATCGGCTTTGCAATTAAGGATAAAACTAAGCGTTTTGTTGGATTTGTAGCTGGAGAGGCGTCAGTTGTGGACGAGCAAATCGAGGGCGCTTTACAAAGAATTTTGTATGGCTCTGAAAGCGATGAATACAAAGCAGCTCGGCAGTTTTACTGTTCCCTGATCGATTTGCGATTCTGCAAGGTGAAGAATGGTGCTCTGAAAATCTTCATGCAGTATCTGCTTAAAATGTAACATTCTTGATTTGTCAGAAATTGCCTTTACAGGTGACATAGGCTTGATATTATTGTTGGCTTTTATGCTTTTTATATTTCATGCAAATGCAAAAACGCATATTGGCAAGAGGTTGTGTGTGTCTGTGTGTTTGTGTATTCGCATTCCGTCACTCATTTTCAACTCAGCAACATTTTAATATTATCATTGCAACCGTATGATGGTTCTGCAAATTTTACTGGCTGTGGTACTCCTGACATGAAATTTCCGTAGCTGATTGCCCTCAAGTATTTTGATTGATATTCTCTGGCCAAAGCAATAACAGTAATGTAACCTTTGTCCAGCAGCTATCTGAATTCGAATTTCCAGTTGCCTTCTGATTTTTAAAGTCTGTTCATTTCTCTGGCCGATTGTGTTTCGTTATTTTCACTTGTTTTGTAAACTTTCTAGTCAAAAATACCTGTTTTTCAATATTTTTTTAGCTTCCCTTTATTAATAACATGTTGCGATGAAACTATGATCACTGGCTGTTCGCAGATTTTCTCTTTGCGCCGCTGTTAAGCCACTACTTTTTTGAATTA